AAAATAAGCATCAGTAAATGCGTATGTAAATTTTATATATGATAATGTAGACGCTTCAAAAAATCAATAAACGGGTCAGCCAATGTTATGTATAAATAATTTTGATATTTTAATATTTCTGTATTAATTTAAATTAAAACTTAATTAATTCTTAATAATTCTGAATCAAGAGTCAAAAAACAAAAATTGGTTTTATTCTTTTAAATAGTTCATTGCTTTAACAGCTTCATTATAAAATAATTTGACCTTTTCCATCTAAGGAATACATTCTAATGGAATTGGAGGAGGTTAATCATTCTGTTATAATGATGAATAAGGATTAGTAGTATTTCTACTATTTCTTGAAGTTCTAGATAATGCAATAGTCTGATTAATGGTTTGATTAGTAGGCTATATCGATTATATGGTCTTTATCTTTTATCCTTTAGTTTTATATTAAGTTGTGAATAATTGTTTTTTTAGTTTACCTCTCTACGTTTAATATTCATATCTGGATTCATAACATAATGATTATGTTTTTGTAGATTTTTTTGATTAAACATTTAAGTAATCATCTTTTAATTGTTTGAATAAGAAATTAGTATCTGTATCCAATAAAGGGTCAATTTTAGATCGAATTGATTTTTCTTACAAATCAAAATTTAATATATCTAACTTCTTTTTCACTTTACTATTACTAGATATTTTTGAATATAAAAAATTACTTTTATAATTATCTAACAGATTGTATTTTAGAACCATTTTACTCTGATTAGTTGTGTTTATGATCTATTTTCTAAAATCCTTATTATAAAGGTTGTAATTTTTATAATATTTTTGGATCAATAGGATCTGGTTGTGTCTCAACAAATGGTTCAGTTGCTTAATGTATTCTATCTTTCAACAATTTATTTGCATATATATTCTTTTCAATTTCTTCTATTTTCTCTCTTATATATTCATCTGGCAATTCTGTATAATGATGTATTTCCTTCACTTTTATTTTAGGAAGTAATTAACTCTTTGCACCCTTAATTTATTCTAATATTGACTCTCTTAATTCAATTTATATACATACATCTAATCTTAATGTTTGGTTCCTCTAAAATTAACCACTTATGGTTGATGCTTTAGAATTTACTACATTAATAATTTAGTAGATTTCATCTATGTTTCAAAATCTTCATTATGCTTTTCAAGTTCATCTTTATTTGATAGTTACTTTTCTTCAATTCTAACATCAATTTCAAATGAACTAATTCTATTACCAACTATAATAAATTAATATTTATTGATTTCAATAATCTTCATATGATTAGTAGGTTTAAGAATTTTTTTATAAGTAGTTAACTTTCTAAAATCTTCAGTGTCAAACACTCTTATTTAATTACTTGAATCATAAGTTACTAATAAGTCTTAAACAAAACCAATAGCAAGAACTGTATATTCAGGTTTACAAATTTGAATAGTTTTATCTTTTGTATAATCTACCCCATTTTCTTCGATTAACCATTTTTAAATTTTATGTGTAAAATTTATAGAATAAAAGCATTATCCTGCTTCATAAAATATAAATCTAAGAATTAAGTATTTATAGATATTATTACGTCTAAATAAGCAATGAATCCTAAATAACAATTAGTTATTCAAATTTTGGATTAAAAATATGCACTCTTTTCATATCAGTTTACAAACAGATCATTTCGTTTTTTTACAATTCTATTATACTTTGTATTTTGCCACCCTATAATTATAAGGGTACTCTTGTTTATTAATGTGTTTTTGGATGCCATAATATCAATTATTAATTGGTTGTAACCGATCCCCAGTGATCAAGCATTTAAAGATATTGAATCTTGGTCAATAAGTATTCACATTATACTAATTTATTATTATGCAATTGATCCATCTAAGATTAAATAATAGTTAAATACAAAACTCAAGAATAATATATGATTATTAGAAAGACTGCAACAAAATTCTTTTATATTCTCAGCAAAGTCAAAATCTAAAATTATGTAATGAGTATCAGGATTATCTAGTTTTATTTCCTTATGAATTTGAAAGTCTGTTCCTAAGAGATAGATTTATGGTTAATTTTCTTCTAATAAGGCAATTTTTTAGATCGATTTTGTGTAGATTGCCTAAAAAACATATAATTTCCAGTACTTTTTATATCTCGTGTTTATGGTACATAGTGTCTTAACTTTTGCTTTCTGTTATTTTGTAATACGCATGTTGGATATTGTCTTACTCATCATTCTCACTACATGACATATAATATGCGACAAATTATTCAAAAGTGATAATTCCATTTTAAGCTATCTTTTCAGCTAACTCTCTCAATCCATTTATCATATATGGAACTTCATCTAATTGAAATTATATCAATTTCAAAAGTAATAACACAAATCCTGAAATTTTTATCCTATTCCCAAATTTAACAAAGTATTCTTTAATTTTATGTAATTCTAATCCGTATAATTTCGAGAGTATATAGTCTGTGTTAAACATTTCAACCAATAATTTTTCATGAGCTTTCTTATGGATTGTCTATTAAAAATGATAACTTAACAAGTAATCAGCAAAATCTAAATAACGAGCTATTTTAGGATCTTCTAATAGAGTTTATTGGAGACTTTAATTTTTTAATTCCAAGTAATCTAAAGCTTTTTATTCATTGAATTCCTCTAAATTGATTTGTTTAAATTACATTATTTATTATAAAATTATTAGAAAAAAAATCATGATTATTGAGGCAATATTTCTCTTTGAATAACAAAATCGTTTTCAGTATCATTTTGAATAAACTTCAAACCTTATTCATTAGCTAAATGTAACATTGTAACAAAACAAGTTTGTATTGAAACCCTACCTTTTGATTAAGGAATTTTTAAAATCTTAGGTAAAATTTTATTAATCTCATTAAATTCTAAACCTGAATGCTCTGTTGATAACTATATGTAAATAATTATAATAAAATTACAGGTATTGATTATTATAAATTTTACCAAACTTAAGTTTTTAATTCTTTAATTGGAATATTCAATTTTCCTTATGTATTATTAGTATTTTTATATGCTGAATTAAAGGCAGTATTTTATTAAGTTATCAATTGTTAAGGATCTTCATCTATAACTCCTATATCAAAATTATCATTTTATAAAAATGGCTAATCTTAAATATCTTCCTCCCATTTTGGTAATTTGGATACCTAAAATGGTTAACATAAACTAATATAATAAATAATTATAGTTACTCTTATCTATCTATTTGATAAGATTTAGGCAATAGATATAATTAATTCATTGTTTCTTTGTTATTGCAATAGTTTTCCTTATCCCTTTTTTAAAGAATATTTTATCTATCTAAATCTTTGTCATCATCTTCAGCATCAAAAGTAAAAAGTAAACCATTTTTCTTTTTAGTTTTGTTCTTCTTGGGCTTTTCATTTAATTAAGTAATATTTTTTTTTTTAGGTTATTAGTTCATATCCAAAGCCATCCATGCAACTTATTCTTTTTCATTTTCAAAGACCTTTCCTGTTCCAATATTAGCTGCTGCTTATTCAAAATTTAAAATATTAAATTTATGTTATGAAAATTTGTTTCCACTTTATTAATTAACCATAGCATTTTAAAATTGATTTACTGAAAGTATAGATGCTTATTCATCCATTATCTCATCTTGCATATTCATATTCTCATATAATTAATCCTCTTAATTAAAATCCATATTCAGAGCTATTGGGTCCATTACATTAGCAAATGATATGTTTTATTTGATTTCTATTATATTTTATCCTTTTTGAAACATATTCTCTCTAAATTCAGTTAATTCTGGACACAATTTTAAATTGTGCAAATTCTTTAAAAATGACTTATATTCTATTTATATTTTTAATATGTTACTTTCTATATTCAATGAACATGTGATAGGTTTAATGGGTAATACATCAGAATCTAATGCAAGCATCAAATTCTCATTTATTGTAAGATTATTCATTAATAATCCTTTAGCTCCTGCTTCATCAAATTTTGCTGATGTTTATTAAAATAGAGGATCAATTTCAAATTCTAAATCATATTTATTTGTGTCTATATTTGCTTGATTTTTCTCTAATGTGTTCTCACCTCCGGTATTTTATAATTTCTTTTTCCTCAATTATTCTTATTCATATTCTTGCTATTCTTCTTAATTTTGTTTTTCATTAATTTAGGTTCTATGCAAACCTCCAAGTACTTTAAATGTGTTTTAATGAACTAAATCCACTCTAAATCCATATATTTTCGATCCCGCATCTAATGAAGCGGATATTTGTTTCCAAGCATCTCCTTATTCGATTTCTAAAATATTAATAATCACATACATTTAAATGCATTTAGATCTTTAATATTGATCATTGGTATCTCAAATGAATTTTTTTCATTAACTCTCTATTTTCATAATATTTTAAACTAGTACATTCTTTTAGATTAACCCTAATACAAAACGTGATTATTCATCAGGATCATCTCTGTTCTTGAGTTCCCCTTCATCATCACTTGAACTTGTATCTCCTTCTTTTATAGCAATTTGTTAAAATTTTGGATTCTGTTATTATTTTAACTAATGAAAAGAATGAATGTCATTCTCTTCATGAGTTGCTAAATCATCTACTCCACTTGGCATTTCCTTTTTCTTTTTTAAATACTGTGATTTGGCTGAAACTTGTTTGTTCTTTTTCATAATAATTTGAATAATAAATCAATTATTTTTGGCTCCAAACAAAGCCTAATAAAATAAAGTAAATTCAAGAAGGTTTTCATAATTTAAACTAATAAAATTTTAGAAAAACATTATAATATTTGTTTCATTTTTTCAACTTAATTTTATAAGTTAATTACAAGGTGATAATTTATATATGAGCATTTATCAATCATATTTGTTAAAATTTATTGTTTTCTTATTTAATATGAACAGTCTTCAAAATTTATATATTAAATATTATAAAATTCTGTATTAACGTATAATTAATATATTCATTCTTAATTATTTAATTGATAATATTCATTAGTTTAAGGATCATAAAAACATTTCAATTTTGGATCATAGACTAATTTCAGATACTCTTCATCTTTTTAATCTAAATCCTCTAGATAATCCTCTAAGTATTCGTTATCATCTTAATCTTATTAAATCTCCTCAAAATATGATGGATTATCTTTAGGTTCTGATTCTTCATCATTCATGGAAGATTATAATTTGTCATCTAAACCAATATTATCATATTTTTTAAAATTTTAAGATTATTATTGATGCTAGGTTTGTTTAGTTTAAATAGATTATTCAGGTTTGCTATATTTATATTTCCCTATTTTTTATTTTTATTCAATAGGCTACTTAACATCATAAACATATCTATAAATATTTAAATAATACTTATCTGGACTTTTTGGTAAGCACTATATTTGAGAACTTAAAGCAAACTCATTATAATTCAACAATCTAAACGTAATTAATTAATTTGAATAAGGAAAAGACTCTGGAAAATTTACTTGTTTTGGAACTATTGCAAAACCTTAGGTGAATGTTATATCTATTTCACTATCCTAAATTGGATATTTCATGATATAAATTTTTCTCAATTTGCAAGGCGAACCAATAATAATTTAATCTATGGATCGAAATGTACACCCTTTAAATGCTTCCATAAAGCTCCAAACATCTATACATAAATTTAACCATTATCCTCTTTTTACATGATCTATTGGAGATTTAATATGAAAATGATGATTTTCAAGACTCTTCACACTATCTGTTAATACTATCCTTCTCTTAGTTTTTGTTGTATCAGTAACATCTAATTCTAAAGTCCATACAAACCCAAGATCTATATTCACCTACACAACTAAAAATTATTAAATCAAGCCTAGTTCACCTTATTTAGGAAATTAAATCCTAGTTGAGTCACCTAAGAATTCATAAATAAATCCTGGGGTTTAGATTTTAATTACCTTTCATTTCTTTATCAAAATACCTTGAACTTTTTAAAGGGTAATTGATTTTAAACAATTTCTTATATAGATCTTCTTTTTCTTTGCTCCCTTTGGTTTCTACTTCCTTTGGATCGAAAACTTAGAAATATGATCCTGACTAAAATTCGTGTAAAAACATTATTTAATTTTTTAATAAAACTGTCTCACATTCTATTATTTCTTCGTATAAATTATAAGGAATGAAAAATAAATGATTATTTTAATAATATTATCGTAAAAAAATAAATAGATAATAAATTAATGAATACTGATTATGAAGATTAGGATGAGAATAATATAGACGATCTAGAAAACTTAGACATTAGTAAAGTAATTTAATCCAAGTATAAATAAAGGAGAGTTGGGATGTAAATGTAATGCTTATACATCTTAAGATCGCAATATTAATAAAGAGAGCATTAAAAAGTCAGATAAAATCAAATTGTACCTGATCTTGAAAATCAACCTATTTAATAAACATAAATCAATTAAACAACTTAATCAGAAGTATTAGTTTCTCGATCTGATAACTAAGAGAACGACTAGAAATTGATTACATTTAGATGTCAAAACAATCTAAATCATTAAATAAAAGAAAAACCAAAAAAGAATTAAAGTAAATTTATAATTTGAAATAAGAAACTTGTTTTACCTAATATAATTAATGCAGAATTTGTGGAGATGGAGATTCTGATTAATGTCCTTTAATTAAAGCTTGTGAATGCGTAAGGTCGAGATATTATGTTCATGAAGAGTGTTTAAAACAGTAAATTTTGGATGAATATAACTACAAAATAAGAGGAGCTAAATGTTCGTCATGTTAAGTCTAATTCAATATGATAATAGAGGGAAACTTTATTTTTCTACCTGTAAATTATAGTTCTTATATATATAAAGAAGTTAGGTTGGTAGTAAAGTAAAGATAAAATTCCATTATTTTGTTTAATCACTTTCCAACTTGTACTTGTGGTGATTGTTATTTTATTATCAATTAGATTGTAAATTTATTAATTAAGATTTAGAACATCAATTAAGGAAACTAAAAATAGATAAAACTTTCTAAATTCTAAAGTTTTTATCATTCTTTTTATAGCCATTTGCTGCATCATAAGCATAATTTTAGTTTGGTTAATTACAATGATTATGAGAAATATACTTTATGTAGAAAAAATTACTAAATGGAAGATCATCCCCTATCTTATCAAATAACCATCATTTACGATGCCATAAAATATAGAAATTAATAATAAAGGAATATTATAACTTTAATAAATGATCCAATAACAACAAGAATAAACTCATACAAATGAAGACCTAACAAAATCAGAATATATTAATACGACTAAGACTCAATATAAAAGATATTTTACTTCCCTAAAATTAAAATAATAAGATAGTTTGATTTCTTGAATCTCTTCAAAATACATCTTAAATTGATTAAATATTTATTATCAATCAACTATACATTCTTTATATGATGAATTACTTGACAATACCCATTTCCACAGCTCTGCCCGATAAGTAATTTAGAACTAATGGACTAGTGGGTGATTAATCCAATGTAATTACTATATTTTCTTCTATTGATGTTATGTCAATAAACTATTAGATGTAGTTTTTTGATATTTAGAAAAAGCTCTAATTAAATTAAAATAATTATATACATCAATTTGTTTTAAATTTTCTGCTTGATGTTATGATGCCAAAAAAAGTGTAGAGAAGGATGGTACATCATTTTCTAATTGCACAATTATTTCAACTGAATATAAGCCTTATTATTTATAAAAATTTAATCTCAAAGGAGCGTCATAATTTTTTGCAATCGTTGCCATTCTAAAATTAAGTTAGTTTTTTACTAGTTCAACAAATAAGTAGGCATTATTATCATAGGCTATAATTCTAATTAAACAATCTCTAATTCTTCTATAAATTCTATATATGTCTGTTTTATAATGCTTGTGTCATCTTGCTATGTGATATTCCACTAATTCATTTAATATTCTATACAGTCAAAAATATTTAATCTTCAATTTACTCTAAATAAATTCTGACATCTTTTGGATTTGAGGCAATTTTATTGACAGCACCAACTACAGTATCAAAATCTTAGAACTATAAAATAATGTATTTATTGTTGCATTGCTAATTGCCCAATTTTAACTGCTCAATCACTTGATTATTATCTAAAAATAAGGTTAATATAACTAATATAATAGCAAGACGAAATTGATTCTTTGCAATATAACACTAAATCAGTTGAAGTTATTCTAAAGTAAACCTTCTTTACTCTCGGATTAGCTCTCTTAAAATGAATGAAAAAGCTCTTCAATTCTGGTAATGAATTATTTTCAAATAAAGCGCATAAATATACTTCTTACATTATAATAATTATAAAAACAGAATTCAACTAATTCGAACATAATTTACATAATTTTTTGTAATTATTTNATCATTCTTTTTATAGCCATTTGCTGCATCATAAGCATAATTTTAGTTTGGTTAATTACAATGATTATGAGAAATATACTTTATGTAGAAAAAATTACTAAATGGAAGATCATCCCCTATCTTATCAAATAACCATCATTTACGATGCCATAAAATATAGAAATTAATAATAAAGGAATATTATAACTTTAATAAATGATCCAATAACAACAAGAATAAACTCATACAAATGAAGACCTAACAAAATCAGAATATATTAATACGACTAAGACTCAATATAAAAGATATTTTACTTCCCTAAAATTAAAATAATAAGATAGTTTGATTTCTTGAATCTCTTCAAAATACATCTTAAATTGATTAAATATTTATTATCAATCAACTATACATTCTTTATATGATGAATTACTTGACAATACCCATTTCCACAGCTCTGCCCGATAAGTAATTTAGAACTAATGGACTAGTGGGTGATTAATCCAATGTAATTACTATATTTTCTTCTATTGATGTTATGTCAATAAACTATTAGATGTAGTTTTTTGATATTTAGAAAAAGCTCTAATTAAATTAAAATAATTATATACATCAATTTGTTTTAAATTTTCTGCTTGATGTTATGATGCCAAAAAAAGTGTAGAGAAGGATGGTACATCATTTTCTAATTGCACAATTATTTCAACTGAATATAAGCCTTATTATTTATAAAAATTTAATCTCAAAGGAGCGTCATAATTTTTTGCAATCGTTGCCATTCTAAAATTAAGTTAGTTTTTTACTAGTTCAACAAATAAGTAGGCATTATTATCATAGGCTATAATTCTAATTAAACAATCTCTAATTCTTCTATAAATTCTATATATGTCTGTTTTATAATGCTTGTGTCATCTTGCTATGTGATATTCCACTAATTCATTTAATATTCTATACAGTCAAAAATATTTAATCTTCAATTTACTCTAAATAAATTCTGACATCTTTTGGATTTGAGGCAATTTTATTGACAGCACCAACTACAGTATCAAAATCTTAGAACTATAAAATAATGTATTTATTGTTGCATTGCTAATTGCCCAATTTTAACTGCTCAATCACTTGATTATTATCTAAAAATAAGGTTAATATAACTAATATAATAGCAAGACGAAATTGATTCTTTGCAATATAACACTAAATCAGTTGAAGTTATTCTAAAGTAAACCTTCTTTACTCTCGGATTAGCTCTCTTAAAATGAATGAAAAAGCTCTTCAATTCTGGTAATGAATTATTTTCAAATAAAGCGCATAAATATACTTCTTACATTATAATAATTATAAAAACAGAATTCAACTAATTCGAACATAATTTACATAATTTTTTGTAATTATTTAGTATGTATGCATGAGAATTATTATAATAAAGATTAATAGAATAATCATTCAAATAATTCATCGAAACTGTAAACAGATAGTTTTATCAATGCACTGTTTTCTAAAAAAGCAATATGAGCTGCTCTTCCGATCATAACATCTAATGATCTACAAAAATTAAATTAAAAATACCTTCCAGATTATTCGTAATTAACATCTAACCTTTCTATTTTTTTATTTTATATTGTTTCCATTAAATTATCTATCATTTTGTTGGTAATTATAATATCTTTACTATTTCCTTTTGGTCTTTAGATGCGAGCTGACTCAAATGGACTATAAGTGTCTTGGTACGAACTCATCAAGGCTATATTGTTAAACCATCCTAAGCCCTCTAACTTAGATAATTTATAAAGACAGGTTTCTTGAATATTCTAAGAATCATTTAATGTTAGCTAATTCAAACAAATACATTTCTTCCATTTACGAATTACCCATAAACCAGTATCTACAAGTTTACTTGAAGATAAAGAATAACCCAAATGAGGTGTAGCCAAAGATAAATATGTGTACATTTTATCTTTATATTTTGTTAAATATTGTAAAGAGGCTCTAATTATTAAACCACCAAGAGAATGACCAATAAATGAAAGTTTTGAAAAATTTTCTTTAGGGCACCATTCTTTGATCCAAAGCTTTACTTCTAGTGCTAATTTTTCTCCCATTACCATTATGTCTTATTCGGTATTATCTTAATTACATTTTGAGAGCAGAGTTAAATGTTCAGGGTATCTAACAGAAATATTATTTCTCCATAATCTTAAATCATAAGAATTTCCTTAATAACCATGAACAAATACAAATAAATGTAAGCCTTTGATTTACTTGCTTTAAATTTATTGCTTTTAAGAAACATCTCTAAAAACTATTGGGTGTATTTTAGCATCAGGAAATAAATCAAGATCTTCAATATTTAAAGGTTCTAATTATTTATAGTAGTTATTATTTCGATATTGCTGAGCCATTTATTTATGGTTCTTTCCTGATTAGGTATCTTAAAAGGAGAGATCATCAACNTTGAGGCAATTTTATTGACAGCACCAACTACAGTATCAAAATCTTAGAACTATAAAATAATGTATTTATTGTTGCATTGCTAATTGCCCAATTTTAACTGCTCAATCACTTGATTATTATCTAAAAATAAGGTTAATATAACTAATATAATAGCAAGACGAAATTGATTCTTTGCAATATAACACTAAATCAGTTGAAGTTATTCTAAAGTAAACCTTCTTTACTCTCGGATTAGCTCTCTTAAAATGAATGAAAAAGCTCTTCAATTCTGGTAATGAATTATTTTCAAATAAAGCGCATAAATATACTTCTTACATTATAATAATTATAAAAACAGAATTCAACTAATTCGAACATAATTTACATAATTTTTTGTAATTATTTAGTATGTATGCATGAGAATTATTATAATAAAGATTAATAGAATAATCATTCAAATAATTCATCGAAACTGTAAACAGATAGTTTTATCAATGCACTGTTTTCTAAAAAAGCAATATGAGCTGCTCTTCCGATCATAACATCTAATGATCTACAAAAATTAAATTAAAAATACCTTCCAGATTATTCGTAATTAACATCTAACCTTTCTATTTTTTTATTTTATATTGTTTCCATTAAATTATCTATCATTTTGTTGGTAATTATAATATCTTTACTATTTCCTTTTGGTCTTTAGATGCGAGCTGACTCAAATGGACTATAAGTGTCTTGGTACGAACTCATCAAGGCTATATTGTTAAACCATCCTAAGCCCTCTAACTTAGATAATTTATAAAGACAGGTTTCTTGAATATTCTAAGAATCATTTAATGTTAGCTAATTCAAACAAATACATTTCTTCCATTTACGAATTACCCATAAACCAGTATCTACAAGTTTACTTGAAGATAAAGAATAACCCAAATGAGGTGTAGCCAAAGATAAATATGTGTACATTTTATCTTTATATTTTGTTAAATATTGTAAAGAGGCTCTAATTATTAAACCACCAAGAGAATGACCAATAAATGAAAGTTTTGAAAAATTTTCTTTAGGGCACCATTCTTTGATCCAAAGCTTTACTTCTAGTGCTAATTTTTCTCCCATTACCATTATGTCTTATTCGGTATTATCTTAATTACATTTTGAGAGCAGAGTTAAATGTTCAGGGTATCTAACAGAAATATTATTTCTCCATAATCTTAAATCATAAGAATTTCCTTAATAACCATGAACAAATACAAATAAATGTAAGCCTTTGATTTACTTGCTTTAAATTTATTGCTTTTAAGAAACATCTCTAAAAACTATTGGGTGTATTTTAGCATCAGGAAATAAATCAAGATCTTCAATATTTAAAGGTTCTAATTATTTATAGTAGTTATTATTTCGATATTGCTGAGCCATTTATTTATGGTTCTTTCCTGATTAGGTATCTTAAAAGGAGAGATCATCAACAGTTTAAATATGCTAGAATATACTTTCACCCCACCTTTCTTTAATCTTTTGTAAATATTCTTACTCTAATTTATTAGTTAAAGCTGAAGCCATAAAATTATAAGCATCAATAAATTAATACCAAGCCACAAAGATTTAAGAGGAAATATGCTTAATTTCCAAAAAAATTTAATTGCTAATTTCTTATTGTAGTTAAGGATTACCTTTAAGATCATTCAATTTATTTGTATATTCAGAGAAAGGCTTATAATTTTAAGTTTTCGCATTTAAATAAGAGAACTTACTGTATTTATTTTAAATCTATTCATCTGATATGCATTGCTTCACTCTAGTTTAATAGTAATTTGCTAACTATTCATTAGTTTACATAAGCATTTTATTATAATATGAGTAGAATCCAGTTAATAAATGAGGAGAAACTAATTGCTAATTTGATCATTTACATTGATTTGTTATTTTATTCATAAATTAGTGAAGGGATAAATCATTTTGTTGATGATATTTGAAGTCAACTAAAACTGAGTGCAGACTGAATTTTAATAAACAAAAGTGAGAATCATCAAATACACAGGGAACGTATTCTTTTATAAATTTAACATTGTGTAATTTGCTTGAAAATTTGGCTATGCATTTTTAATAATTCTGTAATCGATCCTAATAATTCAAAATGAAAAATACTGGCTTAAAATCTTCTTGTGTTATTGTACTTAGTTCACAAAAATGAAGTTCAATAATGCAATATAATTCATTTAAGTTCATTTCTGGATAAGCTTGGATTTCAATTCTAAACACACATCCCTCATTTAACTCTACAATTTAATCACAATATTTTATAACAAAAGCTTTGCTGTAAAAGCTTGTATCAATAAGTTTAGAAGATTAGACATAAGTATCTGTAGTTTATTTATTGAAAAATCTTTTTTGCTCTACAGTCATGTATGGTTGGGCGGATATAACATCTAATTGGGTATCATCTTTCTTATAAATGCCAATCTTAAGTTGATAAACTCCTTATTAAAAAAGATCAATGTTCCTTAGCTCTTTTAAATATACAAATATTTCTATTGTCCCACTAATCATTAAATAATAAAAATAGTTTAAAACAAGTATTTTAATATGCTAGACTCTAAACCTAAACATTTTAGATTGTTTAAATATTTTGATAAAATAACAATGTTGTGTTTATGTTTGTGAAATCTAATATGTGATTGAATTTTATTTTTCAGAATTATTAATTATTATTAATGGAATTACTTCCTGTCGATTTTGAACAATTAGATCAGGAGATTTTGGCAGCCTTATTTCCAATTTAACAATAACCACTCTTATGTGAAGAAGATAATTTATTAGGTCACGTTGATTTATTATTCGAATAAATAATGACTGTGGATAATCACTAGTAATTAACTATTGATGAGTTTAAATTGAATTGCACATTGAGTAATACTTCATTAGATTAATAGTTAGAAATACATTATAAGACCTTATTTAGCTAATGAAAAATTTAATTCATAAATATATCAAAAGCATTTGCACCATAAACAGAATATAATATGCTGTTAACTATTTGATTATTCTTAAAGATTTGTATGAAACTGTACTTGAATTATTTGCCAATAGTTTAGAATAACCTAGCCCAAGGTTTTAAGAATTATTAACAAAGTACTCAAATAATGAAGAATTTCGAATTAAAGCTAAAAATATATAAGATATAAATTTTTTTGGGCTTCAACATATGAATCATGTTTTTACGCAAGATACATTGAAATAAATTATTAGAATAAGTCACCATTATCTAACCAACCATGATTCATAAGCATTGGAATAAAAATTAATTGTTTATAATTCACATCTTAATATATTGGTGAGAATATTTGCATCAGCTATCGATATGAATAAACAAGATATAATTTGCTTAAATAAAAATCATTTATTCTGGAGATAAATAAAGGCAATTTCTACATATACAAAGTTGAGTTAAAACTCAGAACAAATATCTTAATCATACTATAATTTTATGAAATCCATTAGGATTGGTCATGCTATTTTTTTAAAGAAATCTAAAGTTAAAAATTCATTAATGAGAGATATTATTTTTATTTCTTCTTCAGTTTGGTATTTTGTACTAGATGGGAGAGCAAAATTAAGAGCTATGGAACATATGTGTGATATGTAAGTAGAAAGTGCTATGAGTGTTATGGGAATGGTTGAAAAACCAGGGATTAAACATCTTATTGAATTTGGAATTACTTCAATCAATAATAATATAAAAATTTACATTGATCCTGTCGTATCACCTCTAACCTTGAAATACATGAATAAACAATTTTAAAAAGGCATTCTGAATAAAATTACAAATGAACCTTTAGAATATGTTAATAAGTCTATACATTACGACATTAAGCAGCATAAATCAATAATGACTAAAGATAAAACTAAATTACGAATACGAATATTATCTTCAAAATCTTTAGTGAAAACAAACTCATTTCAATAAAGTTTTTTTTCATAAATTTAACATGAAGCCTTAAATTATGATACATTTGAAACGATAATTATTCATTTTCATGGGGGAGGTTTTATCTCAATGTCTTCATCTAGTCATTAAAATTATACCAGAGAGTAATCTGTTTCTTTAAATTAGATGGGCTAATCAATTAGGAATACCTATTTTTTCTGTTGATTATAGCTTAGCTCCAAAATATAGATATCCTTAAGCTGTTGATGATTGTTGGCAAGCGTATCATTGGATTTTAAATCATCTTCAATATCACTTTAACATCAAACCAAAAAAGATTATTTTAGCTGGAGATTCCGCTGGAGGCAACCTATGTTGTGCATTAACAGGATTGGCTATTAAATTTGGTATTAAAGTTCCTGATGGACTTCTGCTATCTTATCCAGTACTTGATCTGAAAATGAAATATTCGCCAAGTCATATGCATGGCCTTGAAGATTTTCTTTTGAATCATACATTAATGGATATTTGTATAGATGCCTATACTAATCATCCTGCTAGTTATGAATTTGACCCTTTTAGAAGTCCCAATCATTTTAGTGATGAAGTAATAATTATAAAGATTCAAGATAATTTCTAAATTTCCTCCAGTTAGAATATTGGTTGGCTCAAAAGATCCATTAATTGATCATTCTCACAGATTAGCACATACTTTAATAAAAAATAAAAGAAATGTGAAAATTATTGTTTATGAAGGCATGTCTCACGGATTTCTAAGTTTTTACATGTTAGGAGGAATGAAAGAATCCTCAAAATGCATAGAAGATTCAATAATATTTCTAAAAGAGTTGATTTCTTAAAAAAAATATTGAAAATAAAATCTTAAATATTCTTGAGGATTTTATTTAACATTAAAAAACTGTAACATAATAATTCAAAGTATATTTTATTTCAGCAATCACATGCATCACTTAAGCACTCGCACTCATAACAATAACTTGAGCCAGATGATGATTAATTCTATTTATCTTTTTTTTTCTTTTTTTTTTCCTTTAATGGTGCTACAGCTTAAGTTGGAAGAGCTTTTGGAATAAAATCATTAACTTGTTCTTAAGCCTAATAAAATAAAATATAATGTAACTTTTGGAACTTTAAATTCAACCCTTTCTCTTTGTTTCCCATAAATTGGTTTAGAGTCTTCTTTTTTTTTCAATGGCTTTTAAGGTAGTTTTAATTAATATGGATGTACAACATTAGGTGTTTCGTATTTTGCCCATTCTTCTTCAGGAGGTTTGGGACGGTATTTCTATATTTTTGGTTATTTAAATGGTTTTTCATCTTTTGTTTTTTTTACTTCTGGCAATTTTTCTACTTTTACAACTGGAAGAGGTTGAATCGGACATTCAAGGAGATGTTCTGGCAATGGGATTTCTTATTCAGATGGATCTTTTTTTTAAGGCTTTTCTTTATATTTTTTTTCAGAAATTTCTTCTTTCTTTATTAAAATTCTTTCGTATTCTGACTCTGATGATCCGGATGAACTGTATACAAAGTTTATTCTCCTCATTCTTGGATCGTGGTATATAATCTAATCATAAAATGGAGTAGTATCAGACTTCTTTTTTCTTTTTCGATTTCTTTTTAAAATGAAAACTAAATACATTTTTATTTCTAAATTTTTTTAAGGAACCAAATTTTTTGCGCAGTTACAATCTGAATCTGAGTTTCCTAATTCACAACAACTGTTTTCACTTACACTATCATTTCTTACTTAAAAAAATATTTTTTAAGAATTCTTCTACTTATTCAAAAATCTTTTGCCTTCTAACGGACGATCAATACTAATTTATACTGGTTTGCCAGTCTTATTAAGTTATTCAACTACAAGTGAAAAAATATTACTACTTGATGAAATTTGATTTTCTTTACTTTTACCTTTTAGATAATTTGGATGCTATTTTTTGCTATCAAATTCGAGTGGTATTGGATAATCTAATACAATAAAAAGAATAATTACTCACTGATGTTGAATTCTCTTCAACATTCTTTAACTTTCTTTCTCCATTCCCATCTATTTTTTTCATAACGGATTATTTTAAAATTAACTTTAAAGTTTATAGTAAAGAAGAAAAATAATTTTATAAGAATACAATTTTTTATTTTGATTATATATAATTAATTTTGCATTGAGAGGAAAGTTGTTGGAAAATATTATTTCAAGTCATAAAATAAAGATATAGGCATTGTAAACACAAAATACTTGGAGAGGACTATTATTGTATTATTAAAATTGTGTAATTTGAGTAAACCTCTTATTCGCAAGAATAACATGAGCAAAAATTGCTCTTATTTGATGATAATAAAGTTTTTTTTACAAATATTTTTTTCGAAAATAACAGAGGGAGAAAAAATCCCAGTTTCTTTTATGCCAAAGTGAAAGATTTTCTCTCCCATTTCTATAGAAGAAGTAAAATCGAAAATAAATGAAAGGTTTGTAAGCTTAAAAATCTTTTTATGAAAATAATTTGAATCTGTGATGCCAGCTTAAATTGAGAAAGGAATTCAAAGATGCAAACTAACAGTCGCGGCTTGGATTTTTAAAAGGCTCTGAGAGTTTGACTATTCCTAATTAACTGTTAGTCTTTCAGTGCTTGAGAGGTTCAAGAAACTTCCCTAAACAAGGTTGGTGGTCTTTATTTTTTAATCACCTAAGCTGGGACTGTTATCGCTTTTTTGTTTTTAACTTCGAATCCTATACATTGAATGGGAAAAAAGAATGCAGACCTTTCTCGAAATTTTATAAAAATGTCTTTGCTAGGGGATTAGTAAGAAGTAGCAGATATTTAAAAGTAATTTTTTTTTCTTTTAAAATGATTACTAATATAATACCATATAAAAATTTAATTTCTAATATTATAAGTCAAAATATTTCAGTTTAAGCATCACACAAGGAAAAATAAGTTATTTCTGGAAAGATCAATTTTATAAAAAAAATAATTTGGGATTTCATGTTTTAAAAACAATAGATTCAAATTTAGATTTGCTGCAGAATGAAGTAATTTAGGCAACAGATACTTTTCAGCCATTTTTTTGTAATTTTCAGTTGCTGATTTCAAAAAATTAAAATCTTAATTTTTTTTATTAATAAAGAAATGGCTTATAAATCCTTTTTCAGAATAATTAGGAATAAAGTAATCAACTTAATTAATAAGATTAGAAATTGAATTAATCTTTAATTATAAATGTATTTTCTATTTTGTACTAAAGTAATAAAATGAAAGAGTGAAAATCTTCACTTTTTTTTAATTTGTGCTTTATTATAAAATAGATATTTGACTTCTTCTTTAATTGCTTTATCATTCATGATTAGATATATTGTTAAAATTTATTTAGTTTTCTTCTTTCTTTAGAATTGTTTTAGTTACTTTTTGATAATAATTTAATAAATAGACAAAATTTTTTTGAAACTTTTAGCATCTAATAGAAATTATCTTGATGAAATTAAAATTTATACATGATTCACTAATCAAGTATAAGGTTAATGAAATAGAGTATTTGCAAATTATTTTAAAACCATCATTCAGCCATATCTCTAATAATATTTATACTTCCTACAAATACCGAATTATAAAGATGATAAGTTAAAAAATATGGTATTAATTTATTCGAAGCAAATCAATTATATGCAGTGATTTTACTTTTTTCCGAAGCTTGTTAAAATTACAGTTTTAGATGATATTTCTTTATTTTTACAAATTATTTGCAAGATATGAGATATTGTTACAGTGTTTTGCAAAATTTTTTTGGATATATTATTCTTCAGTATTGCTTTAAATCCTATATAAGTGTTTAAGAAATGGTATCAATTTAATTTACCATTTTTCTTAACTTATTTCTATCTTTTAATCCTCTTTTAAGCTAAATTTCTAAATACCTTCTTCTTTTTTATTTTGGTTCAAAATCATAATGAGGACAGTTTCTGACTTTATTATCCTTATTCTAAAAAATTATCAGCTAAATATTGACGCCTAGGTGTTTGTTAAATTATTCTTTCTAATCCTTTAATTTTCGTTCTAATTTTTTAATTAAAAAATTATCATAATTATAATTGTAATAATTTTTGGAAAATTTTCGACTTCCTTTTGCTTCTCTTTTGGCAATTAGCCTTCGTTTTTGTAAGATGTAATTACACTTCCTTATTCTCATTTTTAAGATGTATAGGAAATTAAAAATTACAGAATTTTTACAATTCAAATCTCCTCAGAAACAATATATTAAAGTTTAAGAAGTAACTTAGAAAACTGATTCTTTGCTAGTTTTAGGATTTTTTTAGATTAGGTTTTTTTATAAAAAATATCAATTGAAGATTACGAGATAAATGAATTCATTTATAGCATACTAGATAACTCTATCCGTCTATGGGATGTCAAAACAGGATAATAAAAAGCTTAATTAGATAGTCATAATGATTGTATCAACTCAGTCTGTTTCTCTCCTGATGGAAATACATTAGCTTTTTCTAATCATGATAACTCCATCAGTTTATGGGATGTTAAAACAGTATAATAAAAATCTAAATTAAAATGCCATATTAATGATATTAGATTAGTCTGCTTCTCTCTTGATGGAAATACATTAGCTTCTAAAAGTGGAGATGGCTCTATCCGTTTATGGCTGTCTAAACAGGATAAGAAATTAAAGACTTAAATAATCGATATAACGAAATATTGGAAAATTGCACGATTTAGTTGTTATAAAACAACCCTTTTACAGGTATTTAGTATTTATATTTTTTGGTTAACACTATTATTCCTATTCTCTGTATATCCTAAACACCAATCTTTTAAGCTAAAGAAGCTCTTGTCCTAAATGGAGAGTTTATTAATTAGTAAGGCTACGATTTAAGATCGTTATTAAAATCAAGAGGATGTTGTATTTTGGTAAAAAAAATGCAACAATGACATTTTATTATTTTTTTGAAAATTAATATATACTTAAAGTATATTTCTTATATTTTTTTTTTGAGTAATGATGTGTTTTTGATGTCACTTCTACATTTTACTGAATTGTGTTTAATATACAAATTAACAGTAGAAAATTCAAATTATTTTAATACCTGCTACAATTCCTAACAAATAATATTTATTAAATTCCTTTTTTTAACTTTATATATTTTTGTTCCTTCTATAAAATTGGTAAAATCTTCAAGATGTTAAAATTGTGAATTTACTGCATTACTGTTTAGTTTGAGAATCAACATTAGGCTAAGTTAGTATGGTATGGAGGTTGTTGTCAAATGGAATGCATTGGTTAAGTTAACTTCTTAAATGAAGATTAGATTGGTAGATTCTATGGTGAAAAAGGTTACACTATTGATAATAATTCATATTTTGTCCAAGTGCAGTTAATTTACAAAAGATAAGAATAATAGAATGGATATTGGTGCCCTTTATTTAACATTGGAGTCTTGAACTTCCTTAGCACTGCACCAGATCAAAATTAAAGAATATTTTCACCTACTACTTTAATGGGATCAGGATTGAAAATATATATTGAATGCATTTCGTGAATGGAATTGGAATGGACCTGAACCTTACAATTTGATGTTCTTAGCATAGTGTAAGTCAGTGCTGATGGAAATTAGTTTAACTTGGATTAACAAGAGTAATTTTATAATTTAATATTTTAGATTAATTAACAAATGAATTTAATGGATTACACCAATGGTTTTGGTTTAAATAATTATTTCTATGAAAATTACAATTCATTTTGTTGTGACAACTGGTTGCAAAGTATCTCTTTCGCTTTAAAACACTTTAATGATTTCAACTAGATTGGAACTACTGAAGAATTCTTTGGAAAATAATTCTTTTATGCATTTTCCCTTCTTGGAGGTGATCCATATAATTACTTTAACCTACAAATCGAAGAACAGAAGATTTTTATCTAAATTTGTTTTGTTAAATGGGCTATTATTGATAATGCTGACATAGGCACAATTGAAGCTCAAAGTCCTCAATCAAATTTTGAATAAATTACTAATCTCCAATCGTTTAACCCTGGAATCTATTTGTGAATTTCTCAAAACTTTCAAATTTTCTGGATTTTCTAAAATTATAAGAGAGATAATTATTAATTATCAAAGTTGGCACAAAGAAAAATAAAGCCAAAATTGATGGACATGCTTTAATATAGGATGAGAATTAAAAAATCATAATTTAATGTTTTTTTAAATAATAATTAATTAATATTATGAATACAATCTATAAAATTGTTAAATATGCATTATCCTTAACTATTTTTTATTATCTTATTTGCTTGTAAATGAACAGATAAAACCACCTGATACGGTAGATCTTGTATTTTATAATATTTTAATAAACCTTAATTCTTAATTTATAATTAACAAATTGTATATTTGTGAAAAATTATTTTGTAACATAACAAAATATTCTTATACATTCACATGAGGCCTATGATTCTTATCATTGATATTTCACTTTTAATATATTGTTAGTTCTACAAATTTATTATTCAATTCATTTTAGGAGTTAATTTCATTTTTTTAGATTAGAAGAAAAAATTCGTTATTTTGGAATTACATATTATGGATATGTATAATTCAGTACCAATCTTGGTGATTATTTAATATAATTTTAGGGTAACTTCATAATTTCATAATGAATAAATTTAATTGTGAAATTGAATTAGATGATGAGTTTATAAAATAGATACAGTTTTTAAAGCTAAAAATTATGAGAGGAACTATTTATTTCTATATCTTAATTAATGTAAATCCATGATTATACATAATCTAAGTGATTGATAAATGTTTATTATTGGATGTGTGTTAAAATTTAAATTGAGCTTAAGTTAATCAGTAATTAAGATTATTACATGGTTGTTAGGGAAGGTATAATTATCTCTGTAAATCATCATCCTCTCATAGATATCGTATTTCTAAATGGTTAATTAATCTTTTCAGTCTTTTATAAAATCTAATCCTTTTCATACCAATTGAAGAGGATATGAAGATATTAGCAAGAATAGAGTAGAGTAATTGCAAAAATCATTCAATCTCAATGTTTTAACCTTGTGATAGGTTAAATTGTTTATAAGATTAAGTTTATTTTTGAATTCTTGAAGTATCTTTTTATAATCTTTTTTGATAAAATAAATCTTTTAATATTTATGAATTAAAACTTAATCTTACAAAATTATTAATTTATTATTTTTAATATCAATCCCTACTCTAAAAAATATGATATCCTAGATTATTTAAAAAGAATATAATGTAAAATTAGTTTTCTTTAAGTAATTATATGGATCTTTATTTTAATGTCTTCATTTTGCTTAATGTTCTCTGTTTAAATAATTATTTTAAAGTTGTATCATTTAAAATTAAATCTCAAGAATTATTAATTGATAACAGTTATATGATATTTAAATAAATAATAATCCCTATATATGCCTTAAATGGAAATTAACTTAGAAAAATAAGAACTTACTTACCTTAAAAAATAAAGATTAAGAATGACTTAAAAAGATATAATTAAAAAATATATTAGATATTGATTGTAATGATAATTGTTGTTTGATAATTATCAAAATCGCTTTTTCGATAAGTCCTCTAAAATGTAACTTCCTTTTTATTTAAACAATGTTTTTAAATCTATACCTGATTGATTAATAAATTCTCCTTACAATATAAGTGTACCTCTTGCTTCTAAAAAAGGATTCTAACAAATGCTATGTATTGTACGATCTGGCTCAACTAAATAATAATAAATAACAAATACCATTTGGTAATAATGAGCTACTCTAAAGTGGTATTTTAAATTATGCAAGAATATCCGTGTAGTTTTTATAAGAAGATTTAATTTCTTATCCTGTCTTTAAATCCCATAGACGGATAGAGTTATCTTCACTACCAGAAGCTAATATTTTTCCATCAGGAGATAAACAGACTGACCTAACTTAATTACTATGACCATATAATTTGGCTTTTTATTATCCTGTTTTGACATCCCATAGACGGATAGACTAATCACTACCACCAGAAGCTAATGTATTTCCATCAGGAGAGAAACAGATTGATCTAACCTAATCACTATGACCGTATAATGTGGCTTTTAATTATCCTGTATTGAGATCCCATATAAGGATAGAGTAATCAGCACTACCAGAAGCTAATGTATTTCCATCATGAGAGAATGAAAAAAATCTCCTAAAACAATTTAATTTGGCTTTTTATTATCCTGTTTTGACATCCCATAGACGGATAGACTTATCATCACTACCAGAAGCTATTGTATTTCCATCAGGAGAGAAACATACTGACATAACTTAATTAC